AGAAACGTTCCTGCTGGTGTCTGCCTCTTGAAGTCTTGAACCTTCCACGCATCTAGAAAAAGAAACCATTGATTCATTTAGGTCCTGCCAAAGAGAAAGGCGTCCCATGATCTTTGGCTGGAAATTCCCCTGACACATGAAATCGAACCTGTACACACTGTTTGGAAACTGGCTTTGAAGCTGAAACATTGTGGGTGTATTTCCACGTAAATGAATACAGAAACACCACCATTTGCCATGGCTGCATGGCATTCCACTGTAGGGATGTAGCATAATTTATTTAGCCAGTTGTCTACAGATGGATATTTTCCTAAAATTGCTGCAGAGAACATCCATATAATTAAATCTTCATGAAATTTCCCACAGGATAGTTTCCTAGAAGTGGAGTTGCTGGGCCTCCAGCTCCAGAGCCTAGGCACTTACTGCTAGCTATGCTTCAAAGATGCAGAAGGCACTTGGGGTGGGGGATGGGGGCAGCATTTTTAAGGAATCCTGGAAGAAGACATGTCCCCAGGACCCAATGTCATGAACAGGTTTGCCTCAAACAAGAAGCCCGCAGCTGGAATGGGAGCCATAGCCACCCAGCTCAGCCAGCCTGACCCACAGGAGCCACTCCATCCTCCCTCTGGCAGGTCCCAAGTCATGCCTCAGGACTGGGACTCGGTGGCACAGTGTATGACAGGGGCTAGACAGGCTAGTGCAGGTGCTTCACCTGCAGGGCCCTAGGGATTCAGGGGGAGGTCGCTGTGCAGCCTTTGTCACGCACAACACATTCTGCACCACCCTCAGCCCACCCCAGGCCTCCAGGGAGTCAGAAGAAGTTGCTGACCTGTCCCTGGGGGAATAATTGTATTAGTGATAAGGTGGCCTCTGGCAGCTTAGTCAGCAGATTCAAGGCTTTGGGCTGAGTAATCCTTTGGCGTCTGCCCCAGCAGCTGGTGGTCACAGATCGGGGGAGACACCCCAACCCCCAAGCCCTGCTGGGCTTTGTCATCCTTTCTCTCAGCACAGTGCTCGGCTCTGGCTGGGCCTGACCTGCTGGGGAACCAAGGGCCAGGCTTCCGAGGAGTTTGGCTGGCATCAAAGTGATTTGAGGAGTCATAATGAAGTCAAACAGGTGCAACAACAGGCGGGTCACCCACTGCACGTGTCTTTTATTTAAACCGGTTTTTTTTTTTTTTTTTTTTTTTTTTTGCCATTCTAAGTAATACATACCAAGTATAGAATATCAGGAAAACAGAGATAAGTTAAAAAATAGACTTCCTATCCATTAAGTGCCTTGTGATCCTGTTCTCTGGAATATTCCATCTGGACTGAGGAAAGAAAGTTGGGCAAGAATGAGGCTCAGCATTAAGGACAGGGTCTGGCCTTGCACAAGATCTCTCTAGAAGGAGAGAACGGGGGCTGAGGCAGCAGGGCAGGTAGCCCGGAGGAGGGGAGCTGGACAGGCAGATCCCTCCCCACTCAGCTCCTTTGCCGATGCTTTCAACATCTTCCCCACAGTCTGTCCAATGCCCTTGCTGGAAGGGACCACCACCATGGACCAGTCCTGCTGAGGGCTTCAAGGCACCTCCTACACCCACCTCGACTCCCCACCTGTGAAGTCAAGGTCTCTAACCTCAGCTGGGCTGCAGAGCTCCCTCCAGGACTCCCCAAATCCCTTCCCCACGGCTGCTGCTTCAGATCTTGCCTCCCTCCTCAGCCCCTGCTCCCACACCCCATCCCTCCAGAGAGGCTCCTGCCCTCAGAGAGCAGGAGCAGCTCTTGAGAGCGGTCATGGCGACTGCTGCCCTCCTGCCCTGGCCCCGGCCCCACCTCCTCCCCTCCATCTGTGCTAACCCCTTCACAGCATTATCTTCTTTAATCCCACCACAACCCACAAGATTGAGATGCTGAAACTGGAACACAGAGAAGCAGAACAACTTGGCCAAGCTCACACAGCCAGAAGACGTAAAACCAGGACCCCAGGCCTGCCCCTTGAGCCCTGGGTCCTCTGATTCCTTACAGGCCCTCTACTTGGGCTCTGGCCATCTCACCGGAGATTCTGGGCATGGTGAAGGGTGCGATTTACACCCGCCTCCAGCTTTACCCTCTCTCGCTGGTCTTTCTCCTCTGTATCTTGCATTTTAAGAGGAATTCCTCTCCTAAAATATTTATTTAAATATCTCCCTTGATGCGGGGTGGAGGGTGGGGGATGGGGGGATCTTTCCTTAGTGCTCCCCTCCCTACAATCCCCTTCCCTCACCACCAGCGCTGGGCTGCCAGTTCCTCACACCCCACACATGGGTCGGCTGTCTGCCCCATCCAGCCTCCTTCGGAACAGCTAAGGACAGCAGCTACTTCTGCTGCTAAAGCCAAAGGAGGCTGCTCAGCAGCTTCTCCTTAAATATCCTCATGGAAAGCAGGAGTTTGGGGATCAGACACAAGTTTGAAATCCCTGTCTCCATCCCCAACCTCCTCCACCACTCAGAAGCTGTGTGGCCTGAGACAAATTACTTAACCTCTCTGACTCAGTTTGCTAGTCTGTGAGTTGAAACTAATAATAGTCTCTCCTTCACTGGGAGGTTTGAATAGGACATTGCAAGTATTTGTGTAAGAACTCTTCACGCTGGCTTCTTCATTCTTACTGGCAATGCTAATGATCTCATAGAACACTTGAGGAGGAGAAGCCTCCCTCCTTGAATCCTCCCCTGCCTTCCTTCCATGACCCCGCACAGTCCTGAGTTTCCCTCTGCATCTCAGATGCTACGTTGGCTCTTCCTTGGCTCAGGTCCCCAGGGGCTGAGCCAAGGAAGCCTTAGGCATTTTCATCCTAAGGGGCTCAGCCTTAGGCATTTTCATCCTTGCACACATTTGCCCTGCAGTCCTTCAGGCCTGAGGCCCCTTTGTGAGATGAGTTGAGGACAGGTTGGCTCGGGGCATGTGGAGCTGGACACCACAGTGGAACTCTGGTGGACCAGTGGGTGGGGCACTCAGGGCAGAGTCGTAGGTAAGAGTCTGGTGTAAAGTGTGATTTCCCCAGGGGAGAATGAAAAGGTCGCTGGGGCCCACCTCTGGGCACACAGAGGTGATGACAAGTTCAGGGTGAAGGAATGGGGAGACAGGCTTTGGGAAGGAGGGAGTGGTCAGTCAAGTTCAAGAAAGATGCCCTTGACTTTGACAGTTAGGTGGAGCTAGAGACCTTGTCCATGGGGGTCCTGAGGGGCTTCCTGGTGGGAGGAGGTAGGGAGGGTGAGTACCGAGGAGAGGAGGACAGGTGAGAAGCCTCAGCCCGGTGGCCTCGATCTTCTGAGGCCCCAGAAAGCGGATTACCCTGCAAAGCCCTCAAGCTGACTTTCCAAATCCCCAATAGTGCTTCTCTGTCACGGTGAAGGTTAACCCCATTTACATAAGGGCTATGCCCACTCCCTCTGTCCCCTGAACTTCATGATCCTTCCAGAAGCTTCTTGCTGTCCTTCTTCTCCCCAGGCTTTAAGGCTGGGCAAACCCCAGCCCAGCTCACCCCAGGGGTGAGCTCAGGACTGCTGAGGATGGACAGTCCCCTCCAGGCCAGTAGGGACTGGCAGGCAAAGGAAAAGCTTTTTACCGGGTGTTACTTGGTGATCTTCTCAGTAACTGCAGAAGTGATAATAATAGCACCTGCACCCATCATTCATTATGCTCTCACTAAGTGCCAGGCACTGAGACACGTTTCCTGGTTTATCCTTCTTAGTTTCCCAGCTACACTACAAGACAGGTACTTTTGTCATCATTCTTTACAGACAAGGACACTGAAGTTCAGACAGTTTCAGTCACTTGCTTGAGGACACATGGATGGCCTGTGCCACAGCAAGGACTTGAACCTGGGTCTGTCTCTGCTCTCTCCACCCCACCAGCCGGGGCCAGGCATGGTGCAAGGAGGCCCAGACTCCTCCTTCCCACTCCTCCCCTCAGAACCGTCATGGGCTCGAGCTGGTAAGATTGGGCCTGGGGGCAGCAGAGGGACTATGAGGTCGAGTCAGGGGAGGAAGGGGAGGCTGCCTGAGAGCCCGAGCCAGGCTCACAGGGCTGTGTCCTCATCCCTTTCCCTCCTGAAGCCCCCACCCTCCATGTAACTGAGAAAAACACCTGCCAGCACCTCTTCTGCCACCTCATAGGCCAGGAGGAGACCCTTTAGATTAAGCCCCAGGCCTCCTGCCCCCAGGCCAGCTTCAGACCCTCTGTTGGACCTGACCCTCCTCTGTGCCAGGTGTCTAAGGATTGCTAACCTTCCAAGGGGGCCAAGATCCTCCAATCGTGGGCCCCAAGCAGTCCCTTATCAAGAAATTCTGGTGAGAACCGCCAGGGGGAGAGCTGGATCTACCTAGGAGCCAGAGTGAGCGCCCACATGCAGGGAACCACGCAGGCACGGGGACGCACACTCACAGATCGCACACTTGCTTTCAGACACAAGCTGCATGCAAAGTGAGCTCAAAAAGATTAAAGTTCTTGGGGGAAGTGGAGTCCACACCTCCCTTCAAGATTTGGCATTGAATGGCAAACAGCTGAGAACACAGGGCAGAAGGGACCTGGAGACATTGGGCAGCCTGGGAACTGGCATGGGGGCAGCAAGACTGACTGGCTCCAGGGGCACCTTGGTAATGCTACAGGTGTGGCCGGTTGATCCCCTGTGGAGACAGTAAAGATTAAGAGGATCATAAACTGCGTCTAGCGGCTGCCCTGGGAGAAATCTCCTTGAGCCCGAGCCACTGCTGTGAGGGGCCTCAGGAAGTTGGGGAGCTCCTGAGTTAAGACAGAGGGGACAGGAGGCAGGGAGACAGAGAACAGAGAAAGAGATACACAGAGATACAGAGACACAGAGAGCGATACAAAGACCACCAGGGCCAGGGAGAGGGAGAAATAGAGATAGAAGAGAGAGAGGTAGAGATTGAGTCAGAGGCTGGGCCAGCTCAGTGATCCAGGAGGCCTCCCACAGGCAGACAGGCAGGTGGAGGCTGCCCTGGCACCATCCAGGGCCAGGCCAACAGCTCCGATGAGCTCCACTGTGGCTGCAGCTGCACCAGCTGCTGTGGCTGCCTCCAGGAAGGAGTCTCCAGGCAGATGGGGCCTGGGGGAGGATCCGACAGGTATGGCTTTTCATGGGGGTGGTGTCTGGACTATTGGGAGCAGAGTGTGGACCAGAAGTTTGCAGGGACCATGAAAGGAAACAGAGCAACTTAGACCCAATACCAAGGTCTATGGGCAAGTGGGAAGAAACCTGCTGGCAAACCCAAAATCCTAGCAACATGGAGGTGGGCAGAGCCAGGACAGGACAGCTGAGCTTCTGGGGAAGGAAAGAGCAGAGAAGCACCCTAGAGCTGGGTAGCAAAGGGGTCCATAGTGGTGTTGAGGAGAATGTTCTTGTGGGATGTTGGAGCCTGAAGCCACCTGCAGAGAAGAAATGGGAGCTGGGAAAGTGGAGGTAGGGTATGTACTCTTGCTAAAAATAAGGGAGGAGAGAGGACAGAAGTTGGGGGTAGAGGAGGGGGTGGGGATATATAATGAGGGAGACACTTTTCCAGATGGCAGAGATGCAAGTGTGTTTAAATATGGGTGGGCAGGAACCAGTGGGGAGGAAAAGGGATCTGAGGGGCTGGCGGGGGCGGCGGGGGGCGGGGAGAGAATTGTGCAGCTGTGCCCTGGTCCAGCCCCCGCCCTGGCCTGCATTGCCCCTCAGGCGTGGGCCCCTCGCTCCAATGCCGCGTGTGTGGGGACAGCAGCAGCGGAAAGCACTATGGCATCTATGCCTGCAACGGCTGCAGCGGCTTCTTCAAGAGGAGCGTGAGGCGGAGGCTCATTTACAGGTGAGGGAGGTGAGCCCTGCTGGGCCGCTGCCCCTGAGGGTTCCTGAGAGGGCTGGAGGTTGTTCAGGGAAGAAGATGCTAGGGAAAAAATGTCCACACCAAGACACTGACCCCTGGGGCTCTCCTTCACCTGCAGGTGCCAGGTGGGGGCAGGAATGTGTCCGGTGGACAAGGCCCATCGCAACCAGTGCCAGGCCTGCCGGCTGAAGAAGTGCTTGCAGGCAGGCATGAACCAGGATGGTGAGCCGGGGGTCTGCGCCCTGGAGGGGGTTGCACAACAGAAGAGATGGGCAGTGTGATTGGTGCGGTGTCTTCACCCTTCCTGCCTCCCCAGCCGTGCAGAATGAGCGCCAACCCCGAAGCACGGCCCAGGTCCGCCTGGACAGCATGGAGTCAGACACTGAGCCCCGGATGGAGGCCCTGGTAGCTCCTCCTGTTCCCGCAGGGCCCAGCCCTCGGGGCCCTACGCCAGTGTCTTCTGCCAGAGCCCTGGGCCACCACTTTATGGCCAGCCTTATAACAGCCGAAACCTGCACTAAGCTGGAGCCAGAGGATGGTAAGGGAGGCTGAAGGCCAGATCAGAGGCCTCCACTCCTGGGTCACAGGGAGGCCACAGCACCTAGCCTGTATCCTCACACCCGGGGTCCCTGAGACCTCCCTACCATCTCCTGCAGAGCAGGTGCTGAGGTCACAACATGCTCTTCCAACAGCTGATGAGAACATTGATGTCACCAGCAATGACCCTGAGTTCCCCTCATCCCCATACTCCTCCTCCCCCTGCGGCCTGGACAGCATCCACGAGACATCAGCTCGTCTGCTCTTCATGGCTGTCAAGTGGGCCAAGAACCTGCCCGTGTTCTCCAACCTGCCCTTCCGGGATCAGGTATGCCATGGCCAGCCTGCTGAGGAGCTGGGCCAGGCCAGAGTCAGGCGACCCATGCAAGACAGGCAGGTTGGAGACCTACGTCCTGTGCGGGTGATGAGTGGACAGGCACACACCACGGATGATGACTGGGGGATGCACATGACTCTGAGTCAGTAATAGTCAGGGGCACATGCTCAAGGATGGTAACAGTGGGGTGCACATATCTCCCAAACAGGGATGGTGGTCAGGGGCCCACAGGGACCCAGGATTTAAAGGTAGTGCCTATGGCTCCCTGGGTCTTCTTTCCTTCTAGACAGACTCCGAAGCCCTGCGGACATTCTGCATGTGAAGGGCAATCTCCACGCCCCGAACAGTATGAGTGGCTTACTCTAGACCTCCTTGGAGCACAAGTGCCTGTCTCTTCAGGGCTTGAGTTTCGGCCCAACGTCTCTACCTCTGGGACACCCCTCTGGGCTTGTGACAGGCAGGCAGCCCTCAGGATGAGCCAGAAAGAGAGGCACTCTGAGTGAGCCAGTCAGTGCTTGGATGAGCAACTAGAGAAGCCAGGCTGAGTCTCTTGTGTTCACTCAACTTAGGACACTCCTGGGTGTGTCCCTGGGGCTGCCCCTCTTCCCATGTCTTTAGGCTTCCCTAAATGTTCCAGCTGCAGTTCTGGATGGAACCCATAGGGTATCTCGGAACCTAGCCAGCTGGGCCAGATGGTGCAAATCCCAGCGCTCTGGGCCCTGGCTGATGTCAGGCAGAGGTCAGGAGAACATTCTGGGCACCCAGGACCAGCCCTTCCATTTTGGGGGCACCTGTGAAGGTGGTGGAGGCTCCACGCTGGGCTGGAGGAGCTGTGTGCCAGCCGTCCCACTCATGCCCTCTCTGAGCACAGGTGATCCTGCTGGAGGAGGCATGGAGTGAACTCTTCCTCCTCGGAGCCATACAGTGGTCTCTGCCCCTGGACAGTTGCCCACTGTTGGCCCCGCCTGAGGCCTCTGCTGCCAGCAGCTCCCAGGGACGTCTGACACTGGCCAGTGTGGAGACGCGCATTCTGCGGGAAACCATCTCTCGCTTCCGGACACTGGCGGTAGACCCCACGGAGTTTGCCTGCATGAAGGCCCTGGTCCTCTTCAAACCAGGTAGCAGAGTCTTTGCCCAAGCCTTCCAGAGAAGTGGCTGGGGATGAAGAATGGGAATTCCAGTGACTTCCTTCACCTCTCACTTTTCCTCCACCACCCACATGTGTGCAGTGTGGCGTCTTCCCTGGTGGCAGGGGGAGAGAGGTGCGGGCTGGGCTCGCTTCTCCTGAGGGCCCCCCTTGGCTGACTGTGAGGGGACAGGGCAGGCTGGGGAGCCCCTGCAGCAGAGCTCACTGGTGCTATCTTCCCAGAGACGCGGGGCCTGAAAGATCCTGAACAAGTGGAGGCCTTGCAGGACCAGTCCCAAGTGATGCTGAGCCAGCACAGCAAGGCCCACCACCCCAGCCAGCCTGTGAGGTGACCTGAGCACGTGCCTACCTGCCTATCATCCTGTCCTCTCTTCACCCCCTGCCCACCTCTCTGACACCACCTCAGGGCTCCACAGATTAGACAGGATGAGGGTTTCAGCTCAACTGGCACATGTCCAACATATGCTGTGCCCTAGGCCCAGTGCCAGGCTCCGGGAGTGGGGACCAGAATGTGCATAAGACAAAGCTGCCACCTTCCAAGGATATCCAGCACAGTGACCATGCTGAAGATGAGAACCACCCTAGTCGGGTCTGTGGGGCTGCGTGTATCTGAAGGAGACAGACCTACTGGGTGTGGGGGGTGTGAAGCAGAATTGAGAGGGACTTTGTGGAGGCAGGGCTGGCCTTGGAAGGAAGGATAGGGTCTAAAAGGAGAGAAAACATCATTTACAGAGGGGGAGAGAGAGGCAAGCATGGATGTGTTCTTAGGACAGGAGCCCAGCTTGGAAGGTACAACAGATTGCTGTCAGTGAGAAGGTAGGAGATTAAGCCAGAAAGCCACCCTGAGACCAGCTTGTTGAGGACTTTGAACACCAGCCAAAGGCCACAGCTGATTTGGGAGGCTGAGAGGAGCCACTGCAGGTTTTTGAGCAGGAGAGTAACTATAATACACGGGGCTGAAGCTCATGCAGACTGGCATGGCAGTGATAACAGAGTACACTACCAGGGAGGGGAGAGCAATTACTGCCACCTTCCAGGGGATTCTCTAGAGTTCTGATCTTTGGAAGAAGCCATGCGAGTAGAAAGGTGATGACAAATGCAACAGACTCTAGGAGTTGGAATGAGTCGCACTTGGCACTTGGCTGGAGGTAAGGAATGAGGGAAAAGGAGCTATTTGGGAGGAGAGTATTCAAAAATAAAAAGGTAAGTCGGGAGGAAAAGATAGTTTTTCAGGGAACATGAGAAGGTCTGTGGAGGTGCAGGGGGCATCTTGCAGGGATGCACTTGCATAAGCCATGCACTTGGTGGACAGCAGCCCAGTCCTGGCCGGGTTTGGCAAGTGGCAGCTGCAGACTGAGAGTGTGGCTGGGGGAAGGTGGGCAGGAGCCAGTGCTCTGGGACTGCCCTACTTGGCCCACCATCAGTAGATACAATGGATTCCTGGCAAGCTTGGACATCTTGGCTTACAGGCCTCTATCGGCTATTATAGACCACATTTTCAACATTCTTTTGGGGGCTCCCAGCAGTTCTCTCTGAAGAAGTGAGCTAACATGGGCATTATCAAATCACGTCTAATTTGAGAAATGATCATAAGGAGAAGAGGTAATTTCTCTTTAAGAAGAGTCAAAGTATACAAGGTGTATACTGGGTTGTGCAGGAAGACTTGTGCTGCTTATGAGCACAGGGAGAGCATCCACTATTACTAAGACTTGACATAACATCCTAAGAGTGGTCATCACAGACACTCAGAAACCAGTGGCCTTCCTAGGCCAAGTTTCTGTTGGGACCGACTCCCAGAGATGTCCTGGCATATTGGTTATGTGTCAAATTTAAAAACGCTGATTAAGATTTCCCGTGTCACTTCTATAGCAGTTCATAACATACTACAGGCAGAACTGAGTGTTAAGATAGTGGTTTTGTATTCTCTGTCAGTGTATTTCAGTTTTTTAAAACTGCAATACCCAGGAGGAAATACAATCTCCATCATAACCCAATATATGCACAGACACTGAAAGGAAGTTCCAAAGTAAGTTCCTTACTTTGTACAATTTACTCTATTTCTATTTTATTTTCTTTTTTTAGAAAAGGCTGGTTGTGATTCACTAAATTTAATTTCAGAACTGCTAAGTGGCTCAATACCTGCAGTTCGAAAAAAAATCTCTAACTGACTTTATGGTTACTTCTTTTTCCTCCCACCCTTTACATCAGAAACACACAAGGGGGAAGGCAGATGGGAGGGTTATATGACTGCTCAGTGCCACTCACCTGGCACTCGCAAGAAAAAGGAAGCCCTTAGGTTGGCCAAACAAGTTTAGCAGATCACTGAGTGTTGGGAAGTCTTCCCGAAGGCCTCCATGGTGGGAGTTGGGTATGGAGTGCTCCACTGTGGAGTAGCCTCCCGACGTTGGGCATGGACCCCAGCTGTCAGGCCTTCTACCCTGTCAGATCCTCCCATCTGACTCTGAGGGCTTCACCATCCACCTTTATTTGTGTGCTGGGGACCTCTGCCTTAGCAAACAATTCTTATTTAAAACAATGATGAATTTTTTTCTGGATGAGTATCCCAGCCACCAAAATTATCCTTCAACTTCAGAACATTTTCAGTAATGACTATTATCATCTTAGGTGGTTTACAGACCAGAATTTATATTCTTACATATATAAAACTAATCATATAATTATCTAACACTCATATATGATTAATAATTATATATTCATATATAGGACTAATATAACTTCTCTTTATAATCTTTACACATAACAAACAATATTTATTCACTATTTTCATCGCACTCCTAAATTAATGGGGGGCGGAGTGGCTCACAACAGGTCAGGGTAGGGTGGAGCTAACTCCTCTCATGAATGGGGCCTTTCCTCAAAATTTTTCCTGACTCTCCTTGGTGTCTCTCCTCTCCTTCCTCCCCTGCCTTTCCTAGAAGGGCACTGCCCCAAGGACTAGTAGTACTCAGAAGCTGGCAATAAAACTGATGGTGTCCTCTCTCCTGTTCAGGTTTGGGAAATTGCTTCTACTCCTCCCGTCTTTGAGGTTTATTACTTCTGAACGCATCGAGCTTCTCTTTTTCCGCAAGACCATAGGGAATACTCCAATGGAGAAGCTCCTTTGTGACCAAGACCATAGGGAATACTCCAATGGAGAAGCTCCTTTGTGACATGTTCAAAAACTAGTGGAGTGTGGAAGTAAAATGTTTACAACCACTGTGGAAAACAGCCCTGAAGCTAAACATTTGCCTACCTTTTGACCCAGCAATTCCACTTGTAGGCATGTGTACCTAGCAGAAATATCCACGAAAAGATATAAGAATATTTATAGCAGCTCTATACTGTACACTGATAATGTAATAGCCCCAAACTGTATATTGATGGTACAATGGTATTATAAATTGTGGTATATTCATATAAGTGAAAAACAGCAATAAAAAAGAATGGATTACTGAGAACACATAACAACATGGAAAAACTTCAAAGACATAAAAGTTGAATGAAAAAAGCTAGACAATGGGCCGGCCCAGTGGCGCACTGGAGAGTGTGCCGCTTGGGAGCGCGGCGGCCCTCCCGCCGAGGGTTCGGATCCCATGTGGAGACCGGTTCCCGCTCACTGGCTGAGCAGGTGCCAGTGCAACACCGAGGGTTGCGATCCCGTTGCCGGTCAGTAAAAAGGACAAAAAGGAAAAAAAGAAAAAGAAAAAAGCTAGACAAAAGTTCCATTTACACAAAGTTCAAGAACAGGCAAGACTAACTGATGGTGAAAGAAGTAGGAATGGTGGTTGTCTCTGGGTGGGTGGGTGGCGGACTGATTGGGAAGGGGCCCAAAGGAAACTTCTGGTGTACTAGAAATCTTTATTTTGATCTGGGTGGTAGTTCCACAAATACATTCATACATAAAAATTCATTGAGCCATGCACTTAAAACTTGTGCACTTAGGGCCGACCCCGTGGCACACTCAGGAGAGTGTGGCGCTGGGAGCGCAGCGGCGCTCCCGCCGCAGGTTCGGATCCTATATAGGGATGGCCGGTGCCCTCACTGGCTGAGCACGGTGCGGGCGACACCACACCAAGGGTTGCGATCCCCTTACCGGTCATGAAAAAGACAAAAAAAACCCCCCAAAACTTGTGCACTTAGTTTTGTTAGACCTCAGTAAAAAAGTGACAAATAAAAAACAGAATGAATGTAGTCAAGGCTCTCCCCTTGAGGACACTGAAGGACTGAGCATAAGGTCTGGTTTCCACTCCAAGTCAGAGACCAAGGACAATGAATTCAGCCCAGTGGAAAATCTCCCCCACACAGGATTCAACAACCCAGCTTATCTCTAGAAGGCATCCCACCATCCCACAGCATCTTGATCTTTACCTTCCTCATCCTTCCTCATCCCCTTTATAAATAAACGTGAGCACCACTCAACTCAATATAAGGCAGCTACAGGCACTTTTTGTAAAAAGGATTCATCACTTCTTGATTCCTTACGGAAAGATGAAGCTCAGACAAACCTGATCCTTCTTAAAGGCAGACCCAGAAGACCTAAAAAATAATAATTTTAAAAAGTTAACATATATCAGGTAATGTGTACTACAGGTAGTGAGCTGAGCACTTAGTATGCATTGTTTAATCCTCAGATTAACTCTGGGGGAGGGACCAATGATCCCCATCTACAAGTGAAAAAACAGGATTAGAGAGGATTCACACCTTGGTATGACTCTACCTAATGCTGCTTAACTTTGGCACTGACACCTCCCTCCACCCCCTCTACCCCTGGAACCGGCTGACCAATTGTTGCATTTTCTGCCTTCAGTGAGGAAGTGCTTAAGATGAAAAAGGTCATGTGAGAAATCCACAAAATCCGAGGGGTTCCCTGCTCTTTGGCCTGTGTTTGAATTCCCCTAATTGGCAGAGATCTCCTGTCTGCTCTGGAAATGATGAAAGCTAGGCTGGTGCCCAGAGAGAAAAGAGTATGGCAAATACTGCCCAGTTTAAGCCCTTCTCACTTAAGTACTCAAACTACTTGCGATTCTCCATCTTCTAAAAGCATCAGACTGGCCTTATTTGGGTTATTTAATGTCTAAGATGCCATTACATTCTCCAATTCCCTATCAAAAGTTTTATCCATAAGATTTAAAGATCTGCACAGAGGTACCTTTAACAAGAAACATGGTTGAGATATGACCAGACAAGCCCTGCACATTTATCTGACAGGCTGGCTTTTGGGAACATGGTAAGACTGCAAAGGTATCCTGGTAAGTTCACAGGCTAGTGGGGATGAGTGAGCACAACAAATCTACATTGGGAAACAGATTTTGGGGCTCTCTAGGAGGAAGTC